ATCATCGTCATCATCATCATCCCTCATCCTCCTCCTCATCCTCCTACTCGTCCTCCTCATCATCCTCCTTCCTCCTTTGCCCTCTCCAGTGCCCAATCGGACCCCCCCCTCCCCCGAATCTCCGAACACAAACCCTCGATCAAAAAAACACTTATGAGATTCCCCCCTCCCCCAATCCCAATCCCCCTCCTTCCCCTCCCGATTCCCCCTCTTCCCCGACCGCTTCTCCTCTCAATACCGATTATTCCCATCTTCCTCGTCCTCCTCGTTCTCCTCCTCTCCTCCTCCTCCTCCTCATCCTCCTCTCTGATCCTGCTCCTGCTCGTCCTCCTCCTCCTCCTCCAACTGCTCCTCCTCCTCCTCCTCCTCCTCCTCCTCCCCTCCTCCTCCTCCGCGTCCTCGTCCTCGTCCTCGTCCCTCGTCCTTCTCCTCCTCCTCCTCCTCCTTCTCCTCCTCCTTCCTCCTGCTCCTCCTCCTCCATCCTCCTCCTCCACCTCCTCCTCCTCCTCCTCCTCCTCCTCCTCCCCTGTCATTCCCCCTCCCGATCCTTCTCCCGATCTCCCCCCCCCCCTCCTTCGCAACCCAACATGGGAAACCTTGCCACCACTGACCGACCTGCCCCCCTAGGTGGGGATTGCGGACGTCTCCCTCGGGCCCCGCAGCACAAGCCGGGAGAGCTGACTTACCCCGTTCCAGTGGGGGTGGGCATGGTTCTGAAGATAATGAGGATGGAGGAGAAGTGGAGGGTGGAGGCCTCCTGAACAGGACGAGAGCAAAAGGATCCCCAAGACTGCGCCGCATCGCCGGTATCGACGATGTGCCGGCGACGCCAAGATCGAGGAGATCGAGCTTCAAATCTTGCCGCATCGCCGATGCATCGGCGATACGGCGGGGTCCTCCGACGCGGTCCAGTCTGGCCCCGTTCTGGTAAGCCGTGGATGAAGGAAGAGGGAGGAAAGAGGCGTTAGAAGGTTTGAACAGCGTTGTGGGGAGTCCCAAGAGTCCTAGAGAAGTCTGCAGGACCAAGGTGAAAAGAGCCACTCCTCCTCACCCATCATACCCTGCCCCCTCGGCGTCGAGACAAATCACCAGAGGCGTTGTGTTGCCACAATTCGGACCCCAGGACCCTCACTGATCGGTCCAGCTCTGTACATTCAGCATGAAGACGGAGTCGAAGGCTCTGGTGGTCGTTTTCCACGACATCGGATATCAGCGCCTTCCTCCTCCTCCTCCTCCTCCTCCTCCTCCTCCTACTCATCCTCACCCTCATCCTCATCCTCATCCTCATCCTCATCCTCATCCTCATCCTCATCCTCATCATCATCCTCATCCTCATCCTCATCCTCATCCTCATCCTGATCATCATCATCATCATCATCATCATCATCATCATCATCATCATCATCATCATCATCATCATCATCATCATCATCATCATCATCCATCATCATCAGCGCATCATCATCAGCATCATCATCATCACCATCATCAGCATCATCATAATCATCACATCATCATCATCGTTCATCATCATCATCAGCAGCAGCATCATCATCATCATCATCCATCATCATCATCATCATCATCATCAATCAGATCATCATCATCATCATCATCATCATCATCATCATAGCATCGTCGTTATCATCATCACCATCATCATCATCATCACATCATCCATCATCAGCATCACATCAGCAGCATCATCAGTCATCATCATCATCCTCATCATCATCAGCATCATCATCATTATCATCATCATCATCATCGCAGCAACATCAGCATCATCATCATCATCATCATCATCATCATCATCATCATCATCATCATCATCATCATCATCATCATCATCATCATCATCATCATCATCATCATCATCATCATCAGCAGCAGCAGCATCATCATCATCAACAGCAGCAGCAGCAGTATCATCATCTTCATCATCATCATCCTAATCAGCAGCAGCAGCATTTTCGTCATCATCACCATCATCACCATCATCATCATCTTATCATTCATCATCATCATCATCATCACCCTCATAATTCGAATCATCAGATTCATCATCATCATTATCAGCAGCAGTATCATCATCATCACCACCATCAGCAGCATCATCATAATCAGCAGCATCATCATCATAAGCAGCAGTTGCAGCCGAATCATCATCGTCATCAGCATCATAATCAGATTCATCCTCGTCAGCATCATCATCAGCATCAGCATCATCATCATCATCGTCGTCAGCATCATCATCATCATCAACACCAGCATCATCACCATCAGTCAAATCATCCTCAACATCAGCATCAGCATCATCATAATCATCATCATAAGCATAATCATCATCAGCCGCAGCAGCAGCATCATCATCACCATAAACATCATCATCAGCATCATCATCATCAGCATCAGCATCAGCATCATCATCATCACTACCACCATCATCGACATCATCAGCATCATCATCAGCATCAGCATCAGCCCCAGCATCAGCATCACCATCACCATCAGCATCGGCGTCAACATCATCAGCGTCATCAGAATCATCATCAGCATCAACATCATCATCAGCAGCATCATCATCATGACCGTAATCATCACCACCACCATTATCATCAGCAGCATCATCATAATCATCAGCATCGCCATCATCATGAGCAGCATCATCATCAGCATCATTCTCATCAGCATCATCAACCTCATCACCACCACCATCATCGTCATTCTCATCAGCATCAACATCCTCGTAGCACCAGCGCCAGCATCAGCATCTGCATCAGAATCATCATCATCATCAGCATCAGCATCAGCATCAGCATCATCATCATGATCAGCAGCATCAGCATCAGCATCAGCATCAGCATCAGCATCAGCATCATCATCATCATCATCATCATCATCATCATCATCATCATCATCATCATCATCATCATCCCATCCCGTCTCCTCTCATTTCCACTCCACCTCTCGGCTCTCCCTTCCCATCCTCCCTTTTCCGTCTCATCCCCCTTTCCCCACTCAGGGGGAACCCTCGGAGGCCCCACCTTAGCTTGTGGAGGGCACGACCACCGAGTTGAGGATGTTTCTCTCTCTGCTTGCTAGGAACATGAATGTCGGCAGCGCTTCGAGGAGGCAGCGGATCGGAGGCGGATAAGAGGAACGCGGAGGAGGTCGACGATGAAGACTCTAGGCATGATGATGACATGGCAAGATGCTAACCCACTATGGGCACGGAATGGGCGTGTCCTCAGGTCCATTGCCGAATCCCTGGAGCCTCAGCCAGTCCTGAGGAGTCTTAAGGAGCCCGGACCCCAATTTTTTTAATCTTTTGGGGTGTGTCGCGTCTTGTCGCTTGACTCTTTCCAGGCCAAGAGGGCCCAAGAGGCCCTAAAACGGTCCAAGAGGACCCCGAGTCGCCGAACGATCGCTCCAATACGCCCAAGACGCCTCGAAGAGGCCTCCAAGACGCCCCCAAAAGGCCTTCAAGAGGCCTCCCAAGAGGGCCCCAAGAGGCCAAAATCATGTATGCTCCAAGAGTTTTGACAAAAATGTGATTTCTCGCCTTTCAGGCTTCCCAACGCTTTCCGTGATGACTGTGTTGCTGCAAGACGCGAACGAGGAGGCTGGGCCGCCGCTCGACCTCTCCCAGGCGGTACATGACTTGGTCTACGCCGACGACACACTGCTCGTGTCTGGCGAGTCCGATACAGCGCGGGCATACATGCGCAGCATCGAAAAAAACGGATCGCAAGACGGGCTGCAGTTCAATTGGCGCAAGCCGGAAGCTCTATCCGTTGGATGCGATGCGCACATTCCAAGGCCAGACAGTTTCTGGGTGCCGCAGAGAGAGAGAGAGCATTCGATATCTCGGCAGTTTGATTGCAAGCGACAGAAAGATTGGTCCTGAACTCTCCCGCCGACTCAGCGCCGCGCGGGCGGAATTCGACAAGTTGAAGCGAGCGTGGGGTGGGGTCATTCCACGCTGACGCAGTCAAGGAAGCTTGAGATCTTCAGCGTTTGCATTCTCAGTATACCGCTGCATTGCCTGCATAATGCCTCCCTGAACAAGGCGGGAACGAAGAAGCTCGACGCATTCAACGTGAGATGTTTGAGGCAGATACTTCGCATACCACATTCATACATGAGCCACGTAACGAATGTCAGCGCTTTGCAGCAAGCAGGCGTTTCCCCGCTGAACGATATTCTACTGAATAATCAGCTGCTGCTCCTAGGGCATATTGCCCGAAGGCCAGCTGATGACCCAATGCACTGTCCTACGCCCTTTTTCATGCAAGCTAGCGCCACAGAACGTCAAGCGACAGCGGGGGCGCCCCCGGAAAACTTGGACCGAAACAGTTTTTGCCCACGCTGCCCGGGCCGCGGGGGGCGAGGAGGCCCTGCCGCAGCTCTGGCACGATAGCGCAATTTCTGCCGCAGCCTGGCGCGCAGCCGTGAAGCGGTATTGCGACGCCCTGTGAGGCCACGGCATTTGTGTTAGGTCGGGCCGGTCCCCCTACAGGGGGATCTCGGGCGAAAAATAAAGAATACTCAAAAAAGACTCCCAAAATGCTCAAAAAAATGTCAAAATCGTCCCCCGACTATTTTTCGTCTATTTTTGAATATTCCCCCTGTAGAGGGACAGGGCCGATTTAGCACTTGTGCTCGTGTGCTTTGCACTCAGCTGTCTCTCTCGACGCTCCAAGGCGGCCCTTGAGGCACCCAAGACCGCCTCAAGACGGCCCCACGAGGCCTCCAAGAGGGCCCCAAGACGGCCCCAGAGGCGCCCCCGAGATGCCCAAGAGGCGCCCAAGACGGCCCCAAAAGGGCCCCAAGACGGCCCCAAAAGGCGGCCAAAGAGAGGGAACACGAACCGAAAAACCGAGCCTTCCGCCCCAAGAGGCCCCCACGAGGCCCCAAGAGGCGCCCAAGAGGCGCCCAAGAGGCCCAAAAGAGGCCCCAGAACGATTCCCAAGAGGCGTCCAAACTGCATCTAAGAGGCCCCCGAGAGGCCTCCCACGAGATCCCAACGAACATCCAGTAGGCTTCATACCCACAACCCAGGCACGGTGGCGGGATGGGCCAAAGGCCATGAGATAGTAAATATCGGATTGGCCATGGTGTCGACTGCAATGGTTGTCGTGACCTTGATGATGGTCAGGTCTAGGCAGACGCCTATCATCCACCTACACCGATCCTTGCCGGGCCAATCCTTGGCCCAGGGTCAATCTGAAAGCCCTCATGCATTCGACTTAAAACAGTGTGCACCGATTCGGGTCCAGGACGGACCTGACCAGGCTCGGTGTACATGGATGGTTGGCGTCCCCAGAAGGTCGACAGTACCATAGACATGCGATGCGCCTAAAACATTGGCAAACCAAAGCGCATGAACAGGCCAATGCAAAGCACGGTTAGGGGGAGCATACCTCCTCACCCTCCCTCCCGCAATCCTCCTCCTCCTCCTCCTCCTCCTCCTCCTCCTCCTCCTCCTCCTCCTCCTCCTACTCCTCCTCCTACTCCTCCACCTCCGCCTAATCAACATCCACCCCGTCCAGTCGTCCATCGCTCGTCCCTCTATACCTTCACCTCATCCTTTCCCTAGCCGAGAATCCCATGCGCGAGACCCCATGGGCGGGGCCAGATGGGCGGAGACCCATGGGCGGCGACGATGACGACGGCACCATGTACTTCCCGCCGTCCTCCGCCTCCACCTCGCCGACCTCTCCCCATCTCCCCCCATCCCCCTCCTCCCCTCTGGCTCGCCCCCGCCACCCCCTCCACCACCCACAGGCCAGGACGAGGGCGACAACGACGAGAGCGAAGACCGACGACGCTGGAGGCGGCGAAGATCCCCGGCGACCAGCGGCGGCCGAAGGCGGACGGACGGCAGCCGACGACGGGCGCCCCGCCTGCGCAGAGGCCGTCGGGGGGCGGCCGCGGCGGCGGGGGCTCGGGCGGCGGCGCGGCGGGCTCCGGCGGGGGGGCGGCGATCGGGTCCGCGGGGACCTCGCGGGTGCCAGCGCTCTCGCCGCAGCGGACGCGGGCGCTGCCGCCGCGGGCACTGTCACCACCGCCGCCGCCGCAGCCGCCGCCGCGGTCGTCGGCGCCGTCGTCGTCGTCGCCGCCGCCGCCGCCGCCGTCGCCGCCGCCGCCGCCGCCGCCGCCACCGTCGTCGGCGTCGTCGCCGTCGTCGTCGCCGTCGCCGTCGTCGTTGCCGCCGCCCCGGACGGCGGCGACGGCGACGGCGGTGTGGTGTGACCTGGAGGGCGGCGCGGTCGGCGGGGGGCAGCGGCCACTGGCAGAGGCGGGGCGGGAATGGGGTGGGGGGGGGCCACCCGCCCGTGCGTCTCGGTGGCCTCTCGGGCATGCGCTGCGGCGGCACTGTGGCGGGGTATTGCCGTGGCGGCGTGGGCTCTGGTCTGTCGCTGTCGCCTAGGAAGGCACCAACTATACACCAGCACCGATCCTGGCCAGCATCACCCTGGGCCCAGGATCGGTGTATACGCCCTCCTGCTTTGCGCAAGAAGGCAGATACACCGATCCTGGGCCCAGGGTGATCCTGGGCCAAGATCGGTGTTGGTGTATAGGTGGTGCCCTCCGAGGCTCTGGTCTGTCGTTGTCGCCGTCTGGGCCGTCCGGTCCTGAACGGCCTCCGCTGTGAGAGGGGGGCAGGAGGCAGCAGGAGCCTTTAATTCTGAAAGCCGGCGCCCGTTCTGCCGACGCGCCGGGAGCGCACGAAGCTGCTGCACGCAAGGTCCTGTGGCACCAGAATCAAAATGTGAGGACGTCGTTGCTGCATCTGTGCAACGCAGGCGTCGGGCGGCAAGCCTACTGGGAGCATGCTCGTAGACTACCAAGATCCGGATGCATGGTTGGTAATGGCTCGCCCGTGGGCATCCATGCTATCAATCATCCCATCTCTTTGAACGAGGGGGAAGCGGAAATGAAGGGGAACTGGAACACACAAATAAATACACACAAATAAAAATATCCCCCATATTTTCCCATATTTTCTGGGTTTTTGTCTTCCCCACCACTTCCCATATTTTTGCATATTTTCCTGGGAGTCGACGATTAATTGTGTCTGTGTGTTTCTTTCCCTCCTGAGGAAAGGAGGGCGACCTTGTCTGATATGTCCCCTCGGCCCACGGCCGTCGGCTACTGACGTCACTGCTCTGTTGCGGGATACGTGGCGCACGGCAGGGCGTGACCTGTCGGCACGCGAAGCCTGCGGGAGCCGATGGCCCCATGCATGCAGGAGGCAGAGGACAAGCAGCAGCAGCAGCAGCAATACACCCTGCGAAGTGCTTAAGAAATCATGGGTTAAGAAATTCATAGTCTCAGAAGTTGAATAAAAGCCGAACATGTCTATTAACATCGAAAGATTTACATCGAAACGTCAAGAAGAATCGAGACTCTGGCCGAAAATTTAAGTTTTCTTAAGCATCGCCTAAGGTGTATGTTAACACGTCGCCTTGGCTCCAGCACTCACTGCGCGCTCCGACATGCAGTGGACCGTCACTGTTTACGGTCGCTCGCCACGCGCGCGCGTGCGCGTCACACGATGTCGTCAGTATGACATTCACTGTGGCCTGTCTTGCGTGAATATTAAACACGTTTCAGTTTGTCACGGCAAATACGATCGCGCACCGCGTCCGTTCTCAAGCGGGGTCCCTGCTAGGCGAACTGCGCAGGTTACAGGTCACCCAGTATACGAAAAACCAAGAATCCCTCGGGATCTGGCGTTTCTACGCCGCACATCACAAACTCTGACGCGTGTGCTTTCTAGCCAGCCAAGGGTCGTGAGGCCATGGGACCTCCTGCGCACCCTGCGCATCATGCAGTGCCTCCCGCACCAGGCGCAGATCGGCAAGCTCAAAGATGCGACCGCGGCCGCTGCGCCTCGGTTGAGCAAATCATAAGACGCAGCCAGGATAGGGACAAAATCGGACCAGCACCAGCACGAATCGGAGATCTCTGGGATCTGGCAGTTCTGGATGATGCATCGGGCGCCGCGGCCTCCTTGGAGCGCCCCAAGCGCTCTGGCACGAATGATCCCTGCGTAATTAGCCCCACCCGGCGAGGCGACCAGGGACGCGGCCGCTGCCACCCCTTGGGACGCGGAGCCCGCCAGCACCGACAGAAGACGAGGATAGCGCGCACATCGGCGCGGGCCGTCTGGAGGACGACCGCGCGGCATCGACCGCCGGCATCTGCATGCCAGTCGACGGCGGGGCAAACGATCGAGGCTTGGACCTAGCGGCCTCGGGCCAAGACCGCGCTCGCGCACGTGCTCAGCGCGGGCGGGGCGGCGCCGGCCCACGTGGAATGGCGCGCTCGCCCAGGGTCCCCACGCGGCCTACTGGGCGCGGGGCGCATCGCGGCAGCGCGCGGCCCGCGGGCCAGGGCGCGCCCAGGGCCGCAGGCGGCAAGACGTGGCAAGGCTCGCCCTCGGCGCGCTCGGGCCCGGCCACGGCGCGGGGGCCACGGGCAGCGCCGACGCTGATAGCAGCTCCAGTCGTCGGCGGTGGCACTGCCAGCGGCTCCTTCTCTCTCAGCGCCTCGTCGGCCACGACGCTCGCGGCCCTGGCCCCCCGCCCGCGGCAGCGTCAGCAGGCGGCGGCAAACGACGGCGACGCCGACGCGGACCTCCCAAAGGCCATCCACCCCGAGGCACCCGCACCGGAGGGGGAGTCCGAACACGCGGCGGCGGCGGCCAAGGAAGCGCGCAGAGCCGAACATCGCCGCGCCGGCTCGCGCACGCAGCGGGCGGCGGCCGCCGTCGCGGGGAGGGCGTCGCGCCAGCAACGCCACGCACGGCCCCCGCGCGCGGCGTCGCGCCACGCGGGGCCCGCACCTCTGCCAACCCGCGAGCAGGCACTCGCGGCCCCTGCTCCTGCCCGGCGACTCGCCCCAGAGCGCGGGCGCAGCCCGTCGGCTGGCGCGGCGCGCCCCCGGCGACAGAGACCCCAAGCGCGCCCCCCCCCCGCCCCCTGGCATGCGCATGCCCCGCGGCTCGCTGCCGCGCTGCCCGCTGCCGCCGCCGCCGCCGCTGCTGGTCGAGAGCAAAGGAGCTGGAATACGAGGATCAAGGACAGGAGAGAGGCCCGGGGCAAAGCGCGCAGACGCCCCCCCCCCGGTTCCTCGAGTCGCCCCGTTCGCGCCCAGGCTCGGAACGGGACCCGGCTGCGCCGCGCCCTCCGCGCAACGAACCTCGGGCCCACAAAAGCCCGCAAACGCAAGAAAGAGGGAAGAGGCTGGACAATAAAGGCACACATATAACAATTCTCCCGGGTAAAATCATGCTTTGCACCATGCGAACGACTGAGTTTAGTATACATCGGTAAACAGTGCGCGCTAGCGTCGCCAAAGCACTCGTGCTGTGGAAATCTAGCTTTGAGTTCAGACTTGCAATCCGATACTTCTCAAAGTTAAGGGTGGTACAACAGCGATATGCTGCTGCCGCTGCGCCCACCCTAAGGTAGCGCGCAGCAGCAAAGATCAAAGCATGGCTGACAACGAGCGCGATGCCTGACAAGAAAACCTCGGGGCACCCTGCGCGGCGGAGGCCTGCCCGCGCAAACTGATCTGAAATCGCTGCACAGGAAGAACAAAGGAAGTAAAAGAGGCGAAGTAGCCGGCGTTCACGGCGCCGCAGCCACTTGGCCCAGGGGTTGGAACGGCGCTTGCTCATCAACGCTGACTCACTGTGCCATTGCCCTCGATACGCATCAACAACTACTCTAGCGTCTCAAGTTTGTTGCGGCCCGCGCTCGCGGAGAGCTGCGAAGACTTCAACCAACCAGCAACCTCTGTCAGGAATCCCTCGCGATCGCACGTAAAATTACTGATGCCCTGGAGTGGGGCCACGGAACGCGCGACCTCTCCCATGGCAGGCGCGCGCACTGGGTCGGCTCGGAGCCAGGCTTGGCAAGCTTGCGCGCCACATCGCCCTTTTTCGGAGCGTCGCGCACAATCTGCAACCTCTGCGCGAGCTGGGAGTTATTTCCCTTGCTGGTGGATGCGGCGAGGCTCTGCATGAGCGACTTGAGGCCCTCCTTCTGTCTGGCACTTGTTGTTGGCGGCTGAGAGGAACAGCTGGAGAGCGCCTCCATCACCATCACCATCCGATCCCTCGACCTCATCATGTTTCTGATGGGCGCGACGCGGCATCCCCAGGGCCCTCAAAACCTGGGGGGCGATATGATCGCCGTCGTTTCGTTTGCTTTTCTTCTTCGTCTCTTCTGCCATGGACTGGAAAATTGCGCCGCGACATGAGCCACTGGCGGCGCTGCTGCTCTGCCCCGAGCTGGCCGTCGAACTCGCGCCGTCACATTTTTGCGGGATGCGACCGCCAGCCATTCCAGGAAACCAAGCGCCTTGGTCTCCCCCCCCCGCTTCTCGCGCATGTTATTCTTGACCTCCTGGCGGGCTCTGTCGCCGCCGAAGGGCTCGTCGATGGTTGAGGCTACGTGGTCACGGATCCCGGAGGCGAATGCCTTGCGCTCACGCTTCTCAGCAAGGTCAGCTTCTGTCTGATTGAACTTGGCCGTCAACTGGCGCGCGCCCCAATGGCATCACGCAGGTAGGCATCGCGCGGCGGAATAGCATTCGTCGAATGCTGCCGAGGAGGTTGGCTGGCGAAGCAGTCCTTGCCTTTGTCCTTGCCCTTGCCATCGCCGCAGCTCGAGCTCTGGCCGAAGCTTTCCCCGTTCCACCCCATAGCCCCGGAGCGCGCCCCGCCGCCGGCGGGCCGCCAGGTCTCGCACGCGAAATCAAGATACGTAGGCGACGGCGCCTGGGGAGGCGCGCTAGCACGTTGGAGCCGAGACGACCATGGAACGGAGGAAGTCGAAATCAAAGGCCAACGCAGTGCTGAGCTCGCTCCTGTTCGCCTCTGATCCAAGATCCATGTTTGCCAGCTCCGATGCATTTCTCCGGAGCAGTCTACCGAACCGCCGAACGAGTCCGAGACGCGACGAGGCGCGGCGCCTGGGTTTCGAGCGCGCAGCAGGGCCTGCGCCCCTCGCGGGCCAGCCAAAATAAAAGATTCCACATGCAATGTCAACGGCGGCTTGATGCGCTCTCTCTGGACCCCCCCCCCCCTAGCCTTGAAGGCGAGCCCCTCTCGACCGCGCACGGAGGAAGGGGGGGGGGGTCGGCAGGGGCGGAGGGATAACAAAGAAACTTAGCAAACTTTGGCCAACGATCCCGTCCGATAGCAAACTCGCGTTTGAGAGAGAAAGCCCGGCGCTCGAGAGCACGCCCCGCGCCTTTGGCACTGGGCACCACACAAGAGATGCGACGCCGGAGGAAGGGGATGGGCAGGGAAGTATCTTCGCACACGAAGCCAACATCAGAGGGGAACAACTTAAGAAGGGAACGAAACAGACGTTGTCCACAAAGTATGCGCGAGGATGAAATACCTTCATCAACGTAGAGGTTGCATGCGACGACTTCAGATGCAGGGGTACCTGGGGACGCTAAGTCCAGGAGAGCAAGCAATTTGGTGGCTAGAGTATAGTCCAAGCATACAGTCTCCGAGATCTGCGGGGGTGGCTGGTTCAGATAGACCGGCACCCATCACCCATCCTCTCGTCCGCGCAAACATCTCGTCACCGACAGCAAGGAAGCAATCATGCTTGACGTGGCGCAGAGCAGTCGATAAATCTGAAAATCTCATGACGCCATGGCATTGCATGATCCAGTCTTCTGGCTTACACAGGCACCGAGTGGCTCGACTACCCCTGCGGACAGCCACTCCGATATTTCCGCGCAGCGCTGCGAGTCTCCGCCACAATTTACATCCTTAAAGAACTGAGAAGCGTCTGCTTTGCAACAACTAACGGGTGGCTCTTCTTGCTTACACCTTCTGCATTCGGTCTGCCGCGGTCGATGCCCCTTGAGCTTGGATGCGCGGTCGCGAACAACACTGCGCAATTCGTTCGGCTTCCACAACGCCCAGGATATGTCTGAGGAATATCGTTTTGCAGGACGAATGACACGCACGACTTTCCCTACAATTTAACGGTTGTTTGGATGAGCACGCTGCTTTTCACACGTGAGACTGCCGTCCTCTCGGGAAAAGGCAGTTACCTTTGCCTGCGATGTAGGCGCGTGCAATGTGCTCTGGCTGGCACGGGGCAGGGTTCTCCCATCTCTTGGGGATCAGCTTCTTGTCGAGCCCACGCTGAGAATTCGCCGCATTCTTATGTGCGGGGGAGGGCGCGCGTCGGTAGTGGGCAGGGCCCCCCAGGGAAATTTCACAGAGGCGCCATAGGCACTGGCACCAGAGCACCCCCACACGTCGGCGCAGGTCTTTGTCAACCCCCACCCACACCAAGCGCCCCGACTCCGAGGTGCATGCACTACGAAGCAAGACAAGTGGAGGGCACTCATGGGCACCATGTGATGGATTCGCCTGCATGGAGTCTTTCCAAACCTGCATGCCCAAGGAAACAAAATTTGGGGGTCTACGAGAGAGCGTATATAACCAATCATGCTTCCGTAACTGCTCCTCTCTCCCCTGCCAAAGCCTGTCGGGCGCTGCGCCCACGCGCACATCCCCGCACTGGTCGCACCAGAACACATCGTAGCGAAGAAGAGGGCCATAGGCAGGATGGCAACAAATGGATCGGAACGCATGAAGACAGAACAAAGCAAAAGCAGCACATTGGCGCGTGATGCAGTCGCTAACCTTCGCAAACTTACAAGAAAGAACACGTGATTTCGCTCGAAGGCCGAGTAGTACATGTGAGCGATGCCGACGGACCTTGCGCAAGTGCGTGACAACACTTTAACGAATGAGTCTGCTAACACTTAACTTGTCTGGTTGCACATGGACATTGAATGCGTTTTTGGACGACCTGAATGTAGAAAACGCTCGAGCTTGCTTTGAGAAGTTCATCGAAGTTCATCCTGCTGAATTATAGTGACGTCTCCATGTGAGAGGGAGCACTGCTCTTCAATGCATGAGAGAAATGCCTGCCACGAAAACGGCTGCTGGAAAAAACGCGCGCGGAAGGAAAAGTCAAGTCGTAATTTAAGGAGGAGGTTGAGCGACATCTCTCGTTGTAGCGAAGGAATGGCACGAAATCGTGGGTAGTCGCGTTGCCGTTGTGTGTCCCTTGCTGGCGCGAAACGCGCACTCTTCTGCGTGGGGGGGTGGATGATGTCAAAGACCCAGATTTCGTACCGTAGGGCGCGCGATGTACAACCGACAGCAACTGGGAAGGCACAGAAACTCCATCACGAATCACTACTCCACGATTTGCAGCGAAACCGATATATTTGGCCCCCTCTTTTACGGCACGTGGAATCATACTGTTCTTGATACCGAGCGACGCCCCCGCACCATGGAATATGAATGCGCACACGGGAGGTCTGAGTTTTTCCCACGTACCATTGGCCACTCCCTGTGGCCAAAGCAGCACACGGTGTAGTGGGCTCACTGACATACGGGAACCAGAACGCGCGGTGTAGCTTGGACAGGCACCCATACCAGAACGGGAACTTAAAGCCTTGCACAAGCATCGCGGCGCGCAGCGCTGGTTTGGCAGCACGCAGCATTGTCATGATGTGCGTGTTTGTGTGCGCGCTTTCCACCATATGGGCCAAGACAATGACAACGCCGAGGCCACGAAAGGTGGCCCAGACGTCTCGATTTCCCGTCCCGCGCATGAGCCACAGACCGAGAAGGCATCGCGTGCGACCGAGGGTCTGGCATGTGTTTTGTTCGGGAAACCACGCATAGCCCAGAGGGCAAGATGTGCCGCCTGGGCGCGGGCTCCCTCGTGTGATCCCCGCGCATCCCCTTGCGGCGTGTGCCAGTACGTCCTTGGCCGAGAACCGTTGGACGCAGTCACGCCACCCGTTACGAGGCATGCTACCAAAGAACACTCTGATGTGGGAGTGCGCAGGGCGCGAGCTGTCCAACATATAGAGATTATACAAGATAACATGGAAGGTATGATACAACCTCCTCACGCCCTAAAGAGGGAGACGTGGGAAAGCTGCTGGTCGAGAGCACAGGAGCTGGAACATGAGGGCCAAGGATAGGAGCGAGGCCCAAGGCAAGGCACGCAGACGTGTCTCCTCCCTCTCCATCCCCTTGTTCCTCGAGTCGCCCCATTCGTGTCCAGGTTTGGAAATGGATATTGCTGCGTTACGCCCTCCGCACAACGAACCTCGGGCCTAAAGAAGCCCGCAAACGCAAGATAGAAGAAAGATGCTGGACAAGAACGGCACGCATATAACAATTCTCCCTAGTACGATCATGCTTTGCACCATGAGAACGACTGAGCTTAGTATACCTGAATACACACTGTGCGCTAGCGTCGCCAAAGCACTCATGCTCTGGACTCGTGCTCTGGAAATCTGCTCATGGGCACCGGTTTGGCTGCCACGGCTGCCGCTGCTGCGTCGTGACTGAGAGGCACTGGGCATGGATCCCCTGCCTATTACGAGGAAGAAAAGAACACAACATGAGCATACGTTTTCGAAGGCGATCGCGGACTTCTTGGACCGGCGCTAAATACCCAGCGCGCCCCCCACGGGTGGGTCCAGCGCAATTCCAAGAAACACGTTGCTACTCGACCCATGGCCTCGCGTCATCGGAAAATGTTTCGTGCCACTCCCGTGCCCCCGCCCACGGTGTGCGTCGGCGGGTTTTCTCCACGGGGGAGAAAGCCTCTCGCGTGGAGTGGCCTGGCTTGCTCTCGCCGTTGGCTCGCGCCGAAGCGGCGCGATGGTAACCCTGCTGAGACTACAAACCAATAATCATAATCATCAGCATCAACACCAGCTGCCGAGGCTCCGAGCATCCGAGGGCCGTCGGAGGCCCCCCGACGGCCGCCGAGGGCCTCCGATGGCCTCTGGGCGTCGAGGAGATCGCTTCGACTGACGGCACCTCCCCCAGGAGGAGGCGACGCGGGCGGCCTCGAAGCCCATCGCGGCCAGGATGGCCGCCTTGTCCGGGGCCAGGGGCGCCGCTGCACCGCC